TGGGGTGGTGTTTGGCTCCATGAAGAGACATGATACCGGGGTTTGCCAGATGTTGTTTTTAGTCCTGCTTCTCGTTGAGGATTATACTTACTCTCTCTCTCTCTCTCTCTCTCTCTCTTTCTATATATATTTGTTCTCACACGGGGGTCCTTTCCCCCGCTCTGAAGTTGACGTTTGTCTCGACTCCACGAACACCACAGTGCATTTTTTACATGCATCTATTCTCCTCGCGCTGTCCTACCTTTCGTGTCTCCTTCTTCTCGAGTTGCGCTTGACAGTGTGCAGGGTGTTTATGCACGTTTTAGATGTATGTTTTCCTGCCGCCGCTGTTTAGCAAGTTGTTGCAAACAACATTTTTGATGCAGGCACCACTGGGCAAGGTACGGTTTTTCTTCGTTTCAACTTATGTGTGGCACACACACACAGGTACCCAGTGAGGCACCATAAAGAGGCACAGATGGAGATTGAGATCGTTTGTGCACAAAGTGGGGCGTCCACAATTCCATATACCATAAACGTGGCCCAACTGATTGTTTTTTCAGGGCGCGCAGGTTTCTTGCTACCGGGGTTTAGCACGCTTTCAGCCATGGGTTGGTTGTTAGCTTTATCCATTTTTGGTGGCGAGCATGGGCCCCACAGTGCGCAGTGTGCAGCAGCAATGCCACAAATGTGGCTGATTTTTTTCCTTTGCTTAGGTTTCAGCTATTCTGTGCGCAAAACTTCGAATGTTGAAACCTTACGAACAAACCAGCGAACCGCATGAGCGGAGTGACATGCCATTACTTTTTTAGTTTCCAAGGCCAACATTGCCAAACCGGAGAGGCGTTTCAAGAATTGCTCAAGGACCAGGTGGGTGACGCTGGTGGCTGGGTTTGTGCAAAATGTTCTGTTTTGGCTGCGGCCAAGCAGGCGAAGGTACCGCCAGGACAGCCTGCCAGCAGTGTGGGCACCTCAGAAACTGCAACCAGCACGCGCACAAGTCAACGTCAACGCTTGCAAGGTGCACATGCTTTGGCCTGCCCATGTCGAGGAACATTTGCGTCATGTGACATTCATCACTTCCGTGCAAGTTTCAAAAGCATTGTGGGGAATCTGTGCGTTGCGGCTGCAGGTTGTCCCCTTGACCGAAGATATAGGCCGGCGGGTTCCGCAATGAAATGACGCACAAGTGAGCCAGTCCTTCGCCCGCAGCGCGTAAGTTGTATTTCGCATGTTGTGTGCTTACTTTTGGTGTCGTTCCTGATGAGGGTCCTTCGCTTTTGTTTGCCGGGCGTGATGGGCGTTTTTTGTTCGCATGTGTAGCATTGGGCACCGGTCCCGCCAGGGATGCGTTTAAGGGCACGTGATCCACCCAGTTCATATACGCGCAAATCAAAGTGCAGGCCCTATCAGCATCGAAAACATTTCGCACGGTAGCGGAGCAAGCGTGGTCACTCCATAGGTCCCGACCTCAGCTCTAGGGTGGCCCGGGCCAGGACCCAAGCCTACAGGTTCGGGCCCCATTCCCTTGCTGCGACAACGACGCTTGACGAATTGGGACGAAAGTCGGCAAGTGAGATGAACTCGCCCATTCGCGTCAGTTTCAGCTTGACTGAGGGAGATTCCTTTACCCGGCCTGTGACGCCGCAACGTCCAAGTGGAACGAGTCAATTGTTTGGCCCTATTCAACCGCAAACCCAATGCAGCAGACAAGAAATCAATCTCGAGAAGGCATGGAGGTGGACAGGGTGCGAAAAAGAGGAAATGACACAGGCGGAAAAAGGAAGACTAAGGACAATAAAGGCAAAGGCAAGACAAAGGACGCGAAAGGTAAAGGCAAAGGTAAGCAAGAAGAAAAAAACAAAAGTAATTCAGGAAAGTAAAGGCGGAGAGGGCAAAGGAGAGGGTCCTCGACCTTTGGCAAGTCGGGACACTCTCCATCCACAAGTGCCCAACCGCCATGAGCACTTGTTGGCCTCCTGCAGCAGGGGGGGTTATCGAGGAATTGAGAATGGAGGAGATCACAAAGCGGCCACCTTCATTGTGAAAGATGGACTTGAGCCAGGCAAGCCCCGCCATCCTACAATAAACCATCCAAGCAGCTCCTGTTCTCCCGGTGGTCAGCAGCCACTCTCCTCAACGAGGAATCGTCCCCCCACCACAACATCGATAACAACCTCCCTCCCATCAGCTAACTCCTTGCGGAAACACCGCTGGCACCCCCCCCCTTCCAGCCGCCTCCCTCCATAACCTTGGATTTTGCACATCTGGAGATTGGCCAGTACAAAAACAGTCTGCCCCAGCACATCTGGCGACGGGCCAATATACAACCGTGCAAAGGGGAAGAGACCAACGCGGCAAAAAAACAAGGCTTTTGGAACATCAACGTTTGAAACCGGCTGAACCTTTGATGGCACGTCTTTAACAAGTGGAGCAAGCTCAGGAGCTTCGGGAGTGTTGAGGTGAACAGGATGCAGCGCAAGAGACAATACAAGAGAAAGAAGAACGCTGCTACTAGTGACAGTCTGTTTTGACCATTGGGATTGATCGCCCATGAGCTACCAACCTTCCCCAGACAAGGAGCGCAGAAGACACCCTTTGCAACAACGAAGACTGGAAGCAATGAGCCCAGATCCAAGTAGAATGAGAAAGGAGGAAGTATAGGAAGAGAGAAGGGTTGAAACAACAGAGGTAGATGGAGAGCTGTACTATCACATGGGCAAGATCGCCGACAGTGAGGAGATAAAGATAGAGGCATGCAAAACCAAGGCAGAAGAGGAGTCACATGACATCTTGGATGCCCTGGACAGGGTTCCTCCAGATCCTCCACAGTGGGCAGGTGACTTCGAAGATCAAGAAGGAAGACGGCAAAGGTTGGGAGTGCTGCTCCCATGGAAGGGAAGGTAGAGGGCAAAGCCAACAATATCAACGCCAGGTGCACCGCAACAATTTTTTGAAACGTTCAAGGATGGTTGCCCGGGAGTAGACGCAACAGATAGAAGAGATGATGTCCATAGCCCAGCAAGTGGAGGACGGCTTGAGATTACTCCCGGTGCTCCATCTGTTGACGAAGGGGCCCGGCGCTGCGAACCACACGATGCCGCAGATGGGGAGAGTGGCGGACCAGTTTTTATTTTAAGGGCGCTGGATGTGAATGTGCAGGATGTGTTCCCTCAGGGCCGCAAGGTGAGCACACAGAGCGGGCACTTTGAGAAGAGCACTCTTCGAAGCCAACGAGTTGGGGCCAAGGCATGGTTGTAGTTATAGTGTTTTGTGCAGACAAACTTGAAAGGAGAGGGAAAATTGATGTTACTGAGCCACATTGACGATGTTATGCTCACTGGAGATGAGGAGTGCATCACAATGGAATTCCTCCCAGAGTTTGAGGTGCCTACGGCGGCAACACCACAGGGACTCGTTTCAATTTGTCACAGGCCTATGAGCGTACAGAAATGGGTGTGCTGGAAACATGGCGGAACTCAACGAGGAAGAGATGGGGAAATCTACAGATCACTGGCGGGCTGTGGGATATGTCGATTGGACATCCCCCATGCAGCCCAGGAGTTGGCAGCAGCATGGCGTGACCTACAATTTCGAGCAGGCAACTGTGAAGTTGGTTGGCTACCTCAATACAGTGTCCTGGAATTGCATGCTCCTCGGCATGGGCGTGCAACAAGAACCGCAAAGGGCAGGCTACTTCACCCCGGCCGCCCTTCACATAATCAACAATGCGGTGGTTTACGCAAACTCAAGAAAAGAGCTCAAACGAGCGTTGGCTTGAGTTCAGCAGAGGTGGAGGTTGAATGCTCATGTGTCAGCAGCACCTCAAGAAGTATCGAGGTCATCCATCATTGTTTGGTGGATAACGCAGCCGCAAGAAGGGTCCTGGGAAGTTGAAACACATTGCAGTGGATTCAGGATCTTGTGGCGCAGGAGGAGCTGACAGTTAAAGCCCTCGGCGCCAAGCCTCTGTCAGAGAGCCGGATGTGGATCCAATGATCCGATTTGAATGTACGGCCGCTGTGGCACCTTGTGCCGTGCCCCGAAAGAGCTGGCGTGTGCGCCGCCGCGGGCTTCAAGACTTCTACGCCCGCTTTGGGCACGTTCCCCTCCGCTAGTGGTTTGTCTTGCGCAAGGCAAGGCACAAGCCTAAGTGGAAAAAACCTACATAATATGAAACCAGGTGTGGGTAGTATGCAAAGGTGTTTCCAGAGCCTGAAGTTGCAAGTCTCAAACGTTCTCAAAGTTGCAAGTCTAAACTTGACAAAGTACAAATGCGCCGCGTGTGACTTCCAAGTCGAACGGATGCAAAGGCCAGTTCTGTTTAGGCCCAGAGTCATCATGTTTTGTCGCGCGTCCCGAGTTGGTGTCACAGACTAATGCCAGTCCCTGCGCACATCTTCAAAACAACATTTCCAAAAATGAAGGGATTTGAACATGCCGAAGGGCCCTCTCATTCCATGGGCAGGAACGCAGACGGACGGACGCACGGACAGAGGGATGGACGGATGGAAAGGTGGATGGATGGATTGATGGACGGGTGGACACACAAGCCCTGACTATGATAAAAGCAGTTGCACCAAAGCACGGTAAAACTATGACAGCCACACTTGGCTCGGCCCAAGAAGTGCTTAAGTTCTTGTGACGCTTTTGTGTAGGAAGGCCGGGCCACATGTGTCAATGCAAGGTGGTTGGCTGCCATCATCTTTTCATAAGAAGTTGGCCGCGGAGGCAGTTCGTGGATGGTGCCTTGGCAGAATGTGCTGTCAGCAGAATTGATTTAGCGGCTGGTGTCACCTCCGGACCCTCGTTGCAGAATTGTGTGCACTGCCCCTGGCTCTACTGACAGATGAACTCGAATAAAATAGACAACGTTTGTCATGTTGTCACTCACGTCCTGCTTGCCATTTGCGCAACATTGGCTTCAAGTAAAACATTGAAACGGTATACAAAACTTTTTTAAACTTGCATATTGATTGTGCAATGGTCAATATGTAACAAAAATGCAAGAACATTGCTGAAACAGTCGGAGCCATGTGCATGTGCTGCCGATGGTGGGGCCATGTTCTCGGCCGTGTTTTCTGACGAACTGGGTGAAGATTACAATGGGGCCCTGTCTGTGGTAGCGTCCAGGCATGGACCACGGTTCGGTTGTATGTTGCGCAAAGCGTTTACCTAATCTATTCTGGAACTATGGCCCTGGTCCTTTGAAGCAGGGAATTTTGCGGTTTTCGAGGCGGCTTCTCCGTGAACAAGCAGCCCTCCATCGGGAAGGCTTGGAATTGCAGGCCCCTCCCCGAGAAGGATCCGAGAAGTATGATTTGCGGATGCGTGTCATTGAGTGATGTGCATCCATGCTTAACGCAGCATTGCCGTTTTGGGTTTGGAACTGAGGGTGTTTTTCACCACTTCGATGAAGCCAACCCCCACAAGGCGCCTCGCCTAACAAGTTCTGAAAAGAGCCGTTTGCCCGATTACAAAACAGTTGGCAAACAGCATGCTGCACAGTTCGTGAAACAGTCACAAAGTTGTCACAAGGAAGGCTTGAGTGAAGGATTTTTTTGACGATTGAAAAAGTAGCCTTTTGTGAGGCTGCTGCCGTGGTGCTGGGCCCGGATGAGACGCCGTATGCCCGCTGCCCTTTTTTGTTCGAGTTCACCTTTCCGACTCTCGCACTACTTTCGGACATGTTCGTTGTTGCTCCCTTTGCTGCTTTCTTGCTCCGGCATTTTGCTGAGGAACACTTATCCTATGAAACCTCCTCATGCCAAGCTTTTGACTCGGGTGTCGTGAATGCATCGACCCGTGTGTTTTTATAGGGCCTCACTGGTTACCATGAGGGCGCTGCATGTGTGGATGGCCTTTTGCGAAATGATAGCCGATGACAGCCTGCCAAACCAAGGACGGGCGGGTGAGATTTAATCCGAACCTATACGTGAATGGGAAGGCGAGAAGTGTATGGTCAGTCCTTCACTGAGTTTTTGTTTTGACATGACCAGGTTTGCCTTTCCATCCTGGGTACTTGGGCTGGGCCTTCTTGGACGTCACTCAGTACATTTCGAACTGTTTTGCCCCCTGTCTTATATACGGTCTCCTGTTCTTGCTGCCTGATAAAGCCCTCGAACAATTCTTGTCGTTTTCCCAACGGGTCGCAGTGGCGCATGACATGCGAGAGGAGAATCTGAAGTTTTAGACATACAACACCCCTTCCAAACAGGCTCCATTCACGTTGGCCTTCGGGCTTAGTTAGCGACAGTGCTGAAGTATCTGAATGCCTTTTCCTCTGCGGATCTGCAGATTGCAATTTTGCTTGTTGGTCATGCTGCGCACTTTGCAGCGCACTTGGCTGCTCACTGCACGCACACGCATATATTATATTTTCTTTTGTTCTTCCCTTCCCATGCATGAACAATCCCACAGCGGACATGACAAAAGCCCGAGCTCCGCCCAGGATTTCGATTCAATCCCTCCTTTGTTCCAATCCACTACAGAACGAGCCGGGGCACGAGCATGAGACGAGCAGTGACTGTGATTTGTATGCAGTCACTTGGTGTGTGGGAGCAATGTGAAAGTCATTTTTCCATTGGTATGTTTAACATGTTTAGTGTTGAACGATGTCCTGGTTCTTATGTTTCGGTTCTGTTCCAGTTTAAAACCCAACTGGTCAAGCAATCCTTTGCCTTGAGGCAATGGTACGCTATGAGAGCGTGGCTATTGCAGCGCTGCAATTGGGCAAAACTTTACCACCTTGCTTCGAGCCATTGCGAGTTGCTTCCTTAGTTGCGGGGTCGCCTACTGGTAGATGCCTATTGAACGCACACAGATTTTTGTGGAGGCACTCCTTGGTGGCATCTTCCTGTGCAACTATTCAGCAGCTGGCCTGAGCACGTATTTAATCCGGAAGCCTTCCGCCTGCTTGGGCTGTTTAGACTTCCTGCCGGGGTGTTTGACCAGCTGAATGAGGTCTACTGTGAGATGCTCGCAGGGTTCGTCACATGTGAGGGCCGCTTGGACAGGCGAGCCCACAATCAACTGGATCGAAGACATGTGAGATTTGTCAATTTCAAAGGGTTCCTGGACAATGTCGGGCACGTAATGGGCTTTGGACAAGTCTGGTCCAAGTGGCTGCAAGACATGACTTTAATTTGTGCCTGTGAAGGTGAGCTGATGAATTATGTCAGTTGTTGGTTTGGTGATCAGGGTTTACGAAGGTCCTTGCATGAAGGAGTTATATATATATATAGGTTGACGGTGTTGGTTCTCGGGACTTTGTTGCTTGTGTGGTGCGCTATATGGCGATAGCAAGCAGCAAGGGTCCTTTGTTGTGGCACTGCTTGTCAGAGGTATTGAGGTGTGACTTCTTGATTACTTTTCAGGCTTTGGTTTAAGACAGTTGATTCTTTGCAGAATTAGGCAATGTGGAGCATGGCACTGCCGTAGTATTCAATAGTCACTTCCAGCTTTGCAGATCGCCGTGTTTGCTTTGGTTTCAGACTTGCTTCAGGTGTCCATTGTATGGCTTCGTGACCAAGTATGCGCCAAGACTTGTGCGCCAACAATTGGACAGTTTGCAGGCGACAAAGCATTGAGCTTGAGCCTTTAAGTTCATGACCCATGATGGAACAGAGGAACGGGAGGTGGAAAGCTTCTTGCATTCTTCTTCGAGGCCACCCTCCTGACTCAACCAGAAGCGGTGCAAATGGCAGATGAGCTACAACATCAAGCTCCATACATACACACAGATCATTCAAAAGACACATGAACTGCTGATGTTTGCTTTTTCGGCCACTCCCATCCAGCTGGCTGAAAGATCGCAGCCGAGGCTTTAGCACTCTGCATGCCAGAAGCGTCATCAGAAGAGTTGCCTACAGGATCTGGATCAGAAGCTTCGCAACCACTACGGCCAACCCATGTAGCGCATGGCCTGTGGCGAGTTGGCCCGGGCGCTCGAAGATTTCTTCGACGTTGTTGCTTTCTGAGCCTCGTAACTGCTGGAGTTAGTGCCGCAGTTGGTGTGGCTATTTCCTTTGCAGGGCCTCCTGGTCGAACTTTGTGGGGGAGTTTTTCGATGTTATTCTAACTCTTTTTTTGTTGGATTTTCTGTCATTTCTTCATCGCATTTTTGCTTCGTTGTTTCGGTGTATGGCTAAATATACAATAGCCTATATAAATGAGCACGCAACAAAGAGCCCTATATAGGATGTTTTAATATGTTCTATATATATAATTATATATATATACACGTTCTGGAATCTTGCTACTACTCCGGTGATGCTTTTTTTTTGGGCTCTGGTAGGCGGAATTGTGCCAAGGTCTTCTTTCCACGCACTGGAGTAGCTCAGTTTCACTGCTCAACAGGAGAAAGGTTGAAGAAAAGACACGGCCGTGTTTGGCTCCTGCAGGTTTTTTGCAGCCATGGCCGCTTGCTTGTTAAAGCTTCGTTCGCTGGCTTGCCAGCCTGAGACTCTGACACCCCAGGCGAAACTTCCGCGATTCCATTGGTCCTGGGCTGCCTCGCAGTCATGAGTTGTACAGGCGTGACGGGCCAGTGATACCTGAACCAGCTCAGAAGCTACAAAGCCAGACACGAGACTGCGCAGGCAGTTGTCGCAGAAGCACGCCGGAGCTTTGAACGATGCCTTCTTCCACTATCAGCATCTCAGCTCCAGTCAGCATGCCTCAATGGGAGATATGGGAGGCTCCCACTTTTTGGATCAAGCAATGCATACACTTGAACGTGAACATTTTAACAAGATGGTCAAGTCAAAGCGCACTCATTGACATCTCAGGTCCCCAAAGGTCCTTGTGAAAAGTGGTTAGAAATGCAGCCTCAACGTAATTGATATTGATCGGCTGCAAATGCTTCAAATTCTTTTAGGAATGGAGGCACAGGTTGATATTGGGAGATTATGCTTATGTGTATATATATATATATTTAAGTATTATATTTATGCATTGATGCACATATGCATATCCTATCTATCTATCTATCTATCTATCTATCTATACTAGGCTGAAATGACAAAGGACTTGTGAAAACTACCTCCAAATTGCGGTGGCTAAGTCATGAAGGTTTAGCCTACCCCCCACAAGTATTTATGTCATGAAGCAAAGGCTTGGAAAAACCTCAAAATCAGAGATGCCAGAGGTTGTCACCAAAGATCCTAAAAACAGTTGATTTTATATTGACAAGCATCATGACATAAGACTTTGGTATCTAAACAATGAATAAACCATCGAGAGATAGGAATTTGAGAGCAAAAAAGCACAAAGGCAGACTTAAATGAGATAGTAATGTGTTTTTAATGAGACAGGACAGGATTCCTAAGTCCCAATTGGCCTAAGTCATCTCACCCTAATCTTCCAGGAGCATGCCCCCCACCAACCCCCCCCCCCCCAAAAAAAAAAAAAAATACTCAGGACCAGGTCAACAAGGCCTATGTCATGAGTGTGTGCCAATGAAATTGCAAATTTAACATTTGTACATGACTTAGGACTTGCCCTGGGAAAGTTGTATGTCATTTCGACCCAATTGGCCTAAGTCGTCATCTCACCCTAGTATATATACCTATCTCAAGCAGTCAGTTGTCAGTGGCCAACCCCAAATGCTTTATGGAAGGCTACAAAATCCACTTTGTTCCGGATGGCAAGTGTAAAGGTACAATGCAAGAGATCTATCGTTGCTAGTTGGTCTTCCAGCTTTTTCAGCCCAGGAAACGGCTTTTCGAGGCAAGACGAAGCGCAGAAGATTACATAGACGGACCACAGAAGTAGACATCCATTTAGCATCCAATAAGATTATGACCTTCCCGTCTTGAGGCCGAAGGGGACTTTGACAGAGCCTATTCCTTGGACTTTCACAGCAACGGTGGAAGTCACTATATAGTTGTGTGCATTCTGATTTTGAAGTTTTGAGGCTATGTCGCCCGACTTCGAGCCGGGATCATAAAATTTTGCGTGTGCGTGGTGGCTTCCGAAGCTGTTGGCTTCACTGTTGCCTCGGCCCGTGTTTTATGTTCAGGACGAGCACCCCCCCACTGGATGCCAATTCCTCCTGGCCAGACATGCAACTCGACAACATAACCAATGCATTTTTTTTTTCCTTCTTGCTTGCTGCTAGGAACGCGCTTCCTGAATACGGGAAGTCAGAACCACAGTGTGAGAGTGGGTTTCTATTTTGCTGCTGTGGTGACCATGGTGCTTCTTGCTTGTGAGGGGTTGCCACGTTTTTGCACGGCAGATGTTGCATGAGCTGGTATATATTTCTTCAACACAAGATAAGGCTTCGCAAAATTGTCGAGAGGTTCAGCCGGAGGTGCGTTTGCACTAGTAGCCGGGTGGTTGTGGAGAGTCACTTTGTAGACTTTGCTCTTTCTTGTTGAAGCATGATTGTATCCGTCATCGACTCAGTTTGAATGGCTTGAGACACTTGCCAGGAACACTCAAATGTCACAACATGCGCGCAGTACTTCTATTGCTATTGCTGTTGTATTTGAACCAGACAGTCCGTTTCTTTCGGGGAACATGGGTAGCCATCATGCCAGCTTCCTGGCTTGCCATGGATGGCCGGAGCGACAAAGGCCTTACTGGCATGCCTGTACCTACGCGGCCGGATTGCAGTTTTTGTCCTTCGTGGTGACCCAGGACCAAAAAGACATTTCTGTCATTTTTGTTACATTTCCTGACAATGTCTTGTTTAGCTACCAGCTACCCTTTAAATTAAGCCCATTAAGCGTGTGTTGAGTAGGGGCTGGATGTGGTTGATTTCGCGGTCGCACAAAGCTCCAGAACCCGAGACAAGCTATGAGTACAATAATTTTTAAGTGAAACCTGCAGCCCTCCATGTCTCTGCTTTTAGGCACTTTAGGTGCTGCCTTGCTAGCCTGTAGTTGCATGATCTTGTTTTGGCCTCCCTGCAACCGCTCACCGGTCACGACCTGCTGGCTCCGAAAGTGGTGGATGCTAAATGCACATGCCATGTTTCGCTCTTTTCTGTTGGGGCACGCAAACACGGCCAAAGATTGACAGGACACAGGCAAGGGTGCACAACTTAGTCGCAGTATGTATCAAGTGAGGCCTCATGTCTCGCTCTGAGGCTCACATTCAGCTGAATTTGTGGCTGTAACGGGATGTCATGGGTTCAGAGCCCAAATGCAACAGAGAGAAAGATTTTGGATGCCAGGATGTCCAGCAATGAGCTATGCCAGCTATGCCAGACCTTTCGGATTTGACCCTCTTTGATGTGTCTCGGGTCATTTGGTAATTGCAGAAACTTTGTGGTGCTCATTTCCTGATGAAGCGAAATGCTGCGCACCAAGGAGAAACCATCTCTCGGGTTGGAAGCTTCAGGGCCAAGGAGTCCTCTAGCTGCCGAAGCTGAAGGGCCAATTTCATCTGAAAGTTCACCTGAGGCAGGAAATCTTTCATTTTCTTTCCCATCGCTCGTAGGTTGCAGGCCATCGCTAGTAGGTTGGAGGCCATCGCTCTTAGGTTGGAGGCCATCGCCCTTAGGTCCTAGGTTGAAGGCCAGAAATCTTTCATTCCCTTTCCGTCAACTTGTCAGTTCAGATGACCTAAGCATGAGCTAATGATGGTTGGGTGGTGTTTTACGATGTGAGGACAGTGATGGGGATGATGGTCTTGTCGAGTTCTTCCCCGATTCTGCACCCTCACAAGCTAGGAGGCGAAGCTCGTGCCTTGGTCTAAACTACTTTTCTTGTACATTTGGATTTTGAGCATTTTACAGCTGAGGGGGCACCTAAATTTTGTTGATCAGGCTGGCTCTGTGATTTGTGGGCGGGGCCAATGACTACCCGTAGGGCATAGCAGGGCATAGCACGCGCAGCGCAGGTTTCTGATGGCATCGGGTCTTACCTTGCTCTTTTCGGCAAGCAGAAGGTGAACAACACAGTCTACAATCGGTTGTTGGCTCAGAATTTATTTCGATCAAAAACGTTGGAGAAGCTTTCAGAGGTGGCAGGGGCTCAGCTGAACTTGGCTGCAGGTCTGCAGGTTCTGAATCTGCAAGGCCTCCTGCGAACTGTTGCTGCTGATTTTCATTCTCGGCAGAGAGGGGAGACCCTTTACATCATTTTGTGTTTTGTGGCTCAATGGCTCAGGGGTCGATTGAGGCAAGAGTCGTGTGTTTGTTTCGTTCATTGATGTGCTCCGTCCTGTCAGGTGGAGCAAGTGTCTTGAGAAGTTCTCCAACTGGTTTGGCAAGAGCTTGGCTTTTGTGCCAAGAGCCACGGAGGACACTGCTTGCTGGTGAGGCTTGAGTCTCCTTTTGCGCGCTTGTGTGTCTGCTCTGTTTAAAAAAGGATGTGCACTGCAGCCACTTGGACTGTGAGCGCTACCTGCTCGCCAGGATAGTTGTCAGATCGGTCTGAAGCGGCCATGTCAGGGACGGTCATCAGAGAAGCTAGGTGATTTGGCTATGATCTGGAAGCTAGATGAAGCTAGGTGGTTTCTAAACGCAGCTTGACATTGTTGCTTACCTGAACGAGCCAAGGACCATGTGTGCCGCCTGCAGACCTGGAGTTTGCCACTGGGCTCGCCTTGGCTCTTTTCGCATTTTAGGCTCGACGCTATATACCTCCTCGTAAAACAAAAAGCTTCAGAGTCGAGAAATCAGAGTACGCACATTATACTGGCGGTATGCTCAGTCGCCTGGTGGTTTTGTTGCGTTTTTTGAAGATCCTTGTGGTTTTGTGGCATTTTTCAAGATGGGTGGGTTGGTGGGTGGCTGGGTGGGTGGGTTGGGGGGGGTAATGACGTTTGTTTCTCACGAGCTTTCCCTATTGATGTCAGGTACAGGTATAGATTGTTATATAGACTATAGACCATCAAGTTTTGCAGTATTTCCTTTTCGCAGACATAAACATTGAACATGAATCCACTGGCTCAGACAGTGCTCTTTGCTGGCCACAGGCCACTTAATCACGAAAGCTAGCACCAGCTAGCTGGAGTTGTCCTTGCTTTAGCGAGTGAGGGGCTGGAATCCTCGAGATCGCCGCATCACGTGAAAACTTCATATGTAGGGGGGATCCACTTTGGTTTAACTCCTCCGGGATGCGGTGCAACAGATTCAACAAGCTCACAGGTTCATGACATCGACATTGATAGAAGAAGCCAAGTAAATCATGCAAGCAGCTTTGTTTTGCCTCTGGGACACCTCTTGGGCACCTCTTATGGCATCCACTTTGGTTCAACTCCTCCGTGGGATACGGTGCCGATCGGGGACTTCAATTCTAAGGTTGGCTGTGTCATTGCTGTTTGTGTGTCTCACATGTTCACAACGTTTTACCTCATGAGCATTTGCCTCAATCCGCTTGATGTCCCACCAGTCCGGATGCACCCCTGCTAGCTTTCGTCACCTACGGCCTCAAGTTGCCTGGGGTTGATTGCCATCAAGTGTCACTCTACAATAAAGAGTTCACGTGTGAGACTACAGAAGTGAAAGAGTTCCCACAAAGCTTACAGTAGAGGAGTTGCAGGCACACATAAGATAGATTGGGAGTGGTTGCAAATCAAGTACTGCCCTTCCTGTTTCACAATCTTCATCGGAAGTCCAAGAGAGGGGGTGACTCGGATGCAAATCCACGGTTGAAACTCCGAGTGTGCTGGTACATGTGCCGAAGGACTCTGACAGGAAAGAATCCTGACAACGTACTGAGTGCACTCGGAAAGCTGGCATCTCGTCGCTTTCAGGCATGTGCGGAATACTAGGCGATAATGTACACACGAAGCAGAAGAAGCGCCGTGACCATATAGCTTGAACCCAGCTTTGCTTTTCCTTTTGGAATCGTTGTGGTTTTGTTGTTGTCATGATAGTGGCCCCACCAGCACGTACAGGTGCAAAAACGCGGACAGCATTGCGTTCTAAAGCCTGCGAGTCATACGCCGGGCTATGAGAGTGCTTCTGCATGCTTTAGGCCAGGAGGTTTCCTTGATTCAAAATCATCTGCGAGGTTCGAGCAATTCTAATCTTCAAGGCGGGGGCGCAACTCAGGCATTCGAATCCACCCACAGTCCCCTTGGTTTCAGTCCATCGGATCACAGCTTCATCAGTCTGTCCTCAAGGTTGCCCATACCTACTTGTCCGTTGATTTCATTGTGCCCCAGCAGATAGGGCGTAAGAATTTCACACAGCCGACTACACTACAGCTGGCACATGTCCAAGAAGTGGTCGTTTTCCAAGTTCCGGAAGTGCCTTCTCCAAGGCCCATCCTTGGCTAAAAGAGTTTCGTGTCATTCTCAGACAGGAGGCAAAGCCTTAGTTGACTCATTGTCATAGTGACACTGTACTAGAGCCATCTCTGGGTTCTCAGCCCCCTCAAGGGCTTTGCGAACGGCAGACCTTGCATGTGCTTGTCACCAATTCTCTTTGCTTTCGGACTGGCCTGGCCGAGAAACAAGTCATTGACCTCCGTGCCTGTTGCCTGCTTGTCTTCAAGCTGCAGCTTTGAAAGGGTCTTCCTTCGAAGCCTGAAGCCATTTCTCTGGAGAATGTTGTTCGGTAAGGGATAGCACGCTCAGTCACGCAGACTTTGACCTTGCCTTCCAATTTGTTTTCGTCTCCATGGCTCTGGGTTGCATGTTGTCTCCTACCATTTGTTGCGGTTAGTCTTGTTTGTAAGAACTATATACGAGAGTCCGTTTCTTGAACTACAATTGTCTCTGGCAAGTTTGCAGCTGGCCTAAACTTGTGTTTTTGCAGAATCCTGTCGATTCTAAATTCCGGGCATGTCTGCTCAAACAAGTCACAGTGCACCTCCGAGGAACACTTCCCAGGACCAGATGGTCAGCCCAGGCTGTCTTTCTCTGCATCGCTCCTAGGCACAATGGAATTGCATTCTCGGAACCTACCTTTCATCAGAACCTGCCTATGGTCGCAAGGTTTGAGTCCGGCAACCTGACTTTAGCCCAGTGTGATGGCCCCAACCTTTATATCCTGGCAGCTCCTCGGACAATGAAAAACACTTAAGCCTTCAGATCAATTTTGAGATCCTGCATCAGTAATTCTGAGGTGGATGTTGATGTCCATACCGACGGCTATACGCAGTGGTTCTACTTTGCCGTGCGAGGGGGTAAGGTGGGTATGGAGGTGACATTTCGCTTGGTGAACATGGCCAAGTCCAGCTCTCTTTTTGGCACCTCGGAGCTCCGCTAAGCCAGTTCGAAATAGATCTATTTTTTACCTTTTAGCCCGGTGGGGTAGGCCGCGAGTAGAGGTAGGTAGCTAGTAGTATATAGCTAGGTAGCTAGTAGCTAGGTAGCTACTAACTACTGGACGCGGGATAGCTTGCGCTTCCTTGAAGAAGCGCTTGCACTATTCATTTGGTTCCTAGATTTTTAGGGAAAACTTAAGCCAAATTGTCCAATGTGCGGGCCCAGGTGACAAAGGCATGCGGCCCGTAGTTTGGAGCGAGAAATCTGGCAGAGGGTGGGAGCGTGGAGGTAGCCAAGCTGCTTAGCTGTGAGTGTGCAAGACTATGTGATTATGTGATTGTCCAAGCTTCGATCTTTACATCCTGCACTCTTTGCAAGTATCCAAGCAAAGGTCCCTGCCAAAGTGATTTGCACCCCTGGACCCTTTCCGCAGACATCAACAATTGCAACAGCGCGGAAGCACGGAAACAGACATGTCAGATTAATGGTGCATAAACGAGCCTTAATCCCTGATGTGCAAATGGGGCGCAAGGTCCCTGACCTGACTAAGCACGTTGTGTTGCCGCGCCAGTTCTTTCTTTATGTGTGGCATTTGTAATTTCTCTTAAAGATTTCAAGTTGTTTGGGGTTGACTATAGCAGTTGACTCATTCTGTTTGTCCCGAGCTGAGGTTAGCTACTCAAAGTCCACTGATGAGGATGTCAAGGGAGCAGGTCTATTGTGGCTCGACTTATGTCGTTCCACTTTGTTGTGATCCACTTGCATTTGTGGACCATATAAAGGTCTCGGCTGATCGGAGAGCGGATGGACCTAAGATTGAGCTATGCGAAGCACTTGATACGCCATATTGTGTGCACGTTGAGTGGATTGTGCGGTGCCATTTTGGGCCGGTGTTGGGGCCGGGGCTAGTTTCAACTTTGGATGTTACTTTGTAGCAGATGTTGGGCCTGTCAGGGCGCTATTGTTGAGCCATGTAAAGCCAATGTTCAACGCAAATGTTGAGCCGATGTGATGGGGACCCTGGAGCCATGAAGCGCCTTTGGGCCCATGCTGAGATTATGGTAGTAGCTACTTGCTCCTAGTAGTACGGCCAGGAGCCCCTAGTAGCGTCCTTGCTCATAGTGGCGATGCCAGGAGCCCCTAGTAGGGTCCTCTTGTTCCTAGTATATTTTGAGCCTGGTAATGTATTTTTTGACCATGCACAAACAGTTCGAAAAGACGGTGAAGCACACGCATGACTTGGAAGGTCTCGGTCTCATGTGCCCATCTATGGCCAGTTGACCGTATGTTTAGCTAGTTATATGTTGAACCAACGTTATATAAGCCTATGTTGGGCCTTGTGAGACCTATGTGTACGTGTGTGTATATATTTAGGTTATATTATATATACATGTCCACTTGGGCTTTTTATCAACTTTTGCGACCTTCGCGGTGTTTTCTTCAAAGAGATCCGTTTATGGTCTCAGTGGTGCCACTGTCAGGAGCGGGCGGAAAGTGTGGTTCACATTGTCATTCAACTACACCTTCGAACACGATGAGGACACCGTATTCTTTGCGTGCCATGGCAGCCCTTCGCTCATGGTCAGACAGTCACAGGACTGTAGGTGGAAGTGCAATTGTGCCAAGGTACCACTATCCGTACACGTACAGTCATCTTCGTGGCTTCCTTGATTGCTTGGCTGATCATCCATACTCTGGGACACTATTCAGCAGGAGGGTGTGCCTTGGCCAGCTTGTGTAGAGTGTAGACGGTGTAGGCATTGTTGAGATTGGTTGTATGCAATTTGCAATTTTGTTGAGATGCCCGCGAAAGGCTTTGCTACACCATAGGACGGGGAATGTAAGGTTTCTTTAAACCAGGCAAGAAAGTCACACCAGTTTCGACACGACTCGTTTCAACCTTCTCCGAAAATTGCAGAGAAGCACGCCAAGACATGCTAGGAGGTTTGCCTTGCGAAGTGCTTGATGTGGACGAAGGTTCTTCCAGTTCTCGGCAAGGCCAGCTACCCACATGCAAGTACTTGTGTAGGCAAGGGGTGCCTTCATTCATGGCAGGTGTCGCTGTCATGACGGCAAGAGTTCATCCAGGAGAGTCTAATGCTTCCTGGATGATGATGCTTGGCTGTACACGAGAAGCTTGCATGCTCACCTAAAGAAAGATGTGGCGAGCCGCAGTGCCTGAAAACCCTATATACATATATGCCGAGGCACGGCTTCATTTCTTTTTTGCTCTCCCCAGCGCCTGAAGCGAAAGCACTGCGGCAGGCAGGTTCGTGTTGCGATGCGCAGTTGGAATCCGCAATGGCATGAACAGATGCGGTTAGCTTGAACTAGTAGCAAAGGGCATCGCTACTAGGAGCAAGGACGCTACTAGTGGCTCCTGGCCTTACCACTGGTAGTAAGAAGCTACTAGTAGCGTTCTTGCTACTAGTAGCACTCTCCTCGCAGTGCTTTGGTGAAGCATTGTAGGCATTCAAGTGGCTGATCGTGCCAATGTTGAATCCTGACGGAGTGGTGCGTGGATGCTATCGATGCGGTAGGGGTCTTGGATTGGACTGTTGTTCTTTGGTTTCTACATGGTTTGATGCTGAGGGCTTGCCGGCACAGACTTGAACCGATGCCTCTCTGAAATTAATGTGCGGCGCGCTATGATAGTGGCTTTGGCTTGCGCTGCAAGATGTAAGTGTAGCAGGGGTTGAACTTCATGTCTCCCAGCTTGCCGTATAGAAGGCATTGCAGTAGCTGAGTTGTGGCGATCCAGCCCCGGCTAACTAATTATGCTTGAGTTGGTTGCTGCGACGGAGAGTTGCTTCACGCTCAGTATGCTCTAGCTTGGGCTGTCATTAGCTGTAATGCCAGGGTTTGTGGACTGGGACTTTCGTAGAGGGCTTTTTCCTTGTGGGTTACATCAGTCATTGGCTTCCGCATGTGGCTGCTAGGTGCTTCCAAGCAAGAGATCTCGAACCTTCTCGGTGTTCCGTGAGATGTCCATCCACAGGGTCCCGAAATCTCTTCCGCTAGTGACTAGTGAAACAATAGTGAAGTAAGTAAGCCATGTCATGGGGCACTGAACGCAGCTGGTTTCGGCCGCGCACTGTGCTCAGGAGTGTACACCAGCCCAAACAAGATCTTACACCCTGAGATATACCACTTGAAGGAAGCCATGAAGAGTGCTGGCAGCAACGTAGAGCTTTTCATTGATTCTCAGCAGCATCGCTATGTATGGTTCGCATCTCTATGTATGGTAGCAGAAAGGAAGCAAACTGGAAATTGAAATAACTATCTCAAAAGGAGACCCAATCTGGAGGATTTCCATGACATTTTGTGGGTTGCATCCAGACGTCTGTTAAATCAATGCACTTTATAAGTGTAACAGATCACTGTTGCAACTGTTGTGTACTGTTGGATGCTATAGTAGTGAGATAGCAGATGTGTGCAAGCGCCATGTGTTCCTTCGACCATGCGACCCTGTGGGAGTTAAGTTTCCCTAGTCTAGGAACCAAAACATTAGTCTGAGCGCTTCTTCAAGGAAGCTCCCCCCCGCCTGAGGCGGGAGGAGCTTCCTTGAAGAAGCATGAGCAATCCTGCGTCCATGCAAGTAGCTTAAGTAAGGTAGTAGCTACTCTGCTAGCGCCTCTTCTCGTCCTACCCCCCCACCGCGGGCTAAAAAAAGAAAAGGAAGGCAAGGCCTCGTTAAACAGGTCCCTTCCTTTGTTCATCTCTAAATGTTTTAAAGATGGCTGTTTGCGAAGAACCGAGGATCTTCATGGACACTCAAAGAAGGAAGGCATTTTCTTTTACGGAGGAAAAACTGAAGACTGGAACCGACAGTGTGACATCCAGTTGCTGCCGAGGCCTGGCCCGAAGCTTCAATGTTCTTTGTCTAGCTTTTCGAGTATGACTAGTATGCAACAGTGATACGTAAGGTGAGGCAAATGCCATGGGATTGGATAGCAAAGATTGATAGAGAAGCTCCTGCATGGTTTTGCATATGCTGGACGTTTCCAAGCTCTTATGTCATTCTAGGCACAAAAGGCACGACTTACAACCGGCAATCCTAACGTTAAGTTTCCTGAAAAATCTAAGAACCAAATCATTAGCGGAGCTATCCTGCGTCCATATGAAGTAGCTAGAAGCTTTCTTCCCTTACTTGATTAAGTAGGCGCCTAAATACATTAAGTAGGAGTGGAGGAGAAAAAACTAAAGGACTGAAACACTGGCTTTGAAGGCTCGGAGTTCGCCAGCTTGTTTCGCTCTTGGAGAGCTCGCTTGTCAATGTCTCCCTTGTCTCTCTTGATGGCACGATCTTTGAAGGTGAGGCCTTACCCTCCCTCATCTCACTACACTATACCTCCTTTGGAATCAGATCGTTGAGACTGATTGGACTCATTTGCCTTGCTCATCTCGCATTATGTCTCACATATTCTTGTGTCGCTTCACCACATCTTGCTTCGGTCCTTTTTGATTGATGCTTGGAATGACCCAGCTGGATTGAGAAATTGCAAGCCAATTGGTTCAGAGGTAGCTCGTGGGTCGCTGGTCAGGTGGTCAGGCGGCCAGCTAGCTGGGTAAGCGGCAAGCGGCGATAGTTCCCGACGCAGTGTTGTGCTGTTAAGTGATGCCGTAGAGGCCCTTGCATACTTTAAATGCAGCCAATTGTGATGCCAACGAACAACACAGAACTCGTTGTGGGAGGTGCGACCCTCTAACTTGCTACCTCTGTTGTCAAGGGGTTCATTCATTCATGTACTTACCGCTCATGTTTTTTCACTGAACAATGTGCCAGTGAAGAGCACAGCTTTGACAAGTCCACCAGAGCAGCTTCAGGAACATCATGACCAATGATTTGCTCTTTGCAATGCATACACCACGTTGACGCACCATTCCAGCTTTAGCCCTTTGAGCTAATAACATTTTCATGCTGTTGCCGTGGGCACAGGCTTTGCTGCTTGGGCTCTTCCGACTTTAAGTGGAACCAGCTCCCTTGTGGCAAACCAGCTTGCTGTGAGCTTGCGGAAAGGTTGCGTGGATGTGCCAGCTGCAAAAATGCTGCTTTGAACACCGGCAGTTACCTTCAGGTGCTCCTTCAATTTGAACGAATCCAAGATGTCCACCGCACGATTGGTGAGTTTTCTGCAACTCCGAGTTCAGAGAGCATATGTAGCCTCTTGTCTTGAACTTTGAGCCAAACTTGGATTACAATGGATTACGTGCCTCAGTGGTTTTGCGTGGCTGCTGTCAGCCAACAGATGAGTGCCTTGTCAAGGTGGAGGCCTCTTTTGCAGGGAGTGGAGAAAGCGTGAGGAGAGATGTTGAGGCCGAGGTGTGCGGCTAGTGTTTATTTATGTACTATTTCAATGTCAGCGCCTGCTGCCTTGATGGCAAGTAGTAGTGCATTTCAAGTGTTGGTTAGTGATGCACTGAGCTGCCAAATCTGCCACAAGATTGAGTTTGATTCGCATCCCTTGCCACCAAATCTCTTTGCATGACCAGGCCTCAGACACTGATCCCGGAGAAGAGGGGGAAGCTGTGGAAGGTGCTGCAATGTTTGAGGGGTCCCAGGGTGTCGTGCAGGAAGCAGCGACCTTGCTCTTGCAACAACTTGTGCCCCAGCGGCATTGGTGCAATGCACAGGGTGACACTGTGATGTTGGATCAAGACGTGGAGTCTTGTTCTGCCCGGTCTCCTGGAAACTTGCTAAGGGTGCGCTTGACGGCTGCTTGACAACATTCAGTTGCAAAGCTGTTACATGTCCTTCTCCCAACTATTTTGGGGATTGACTTTGAGAGACCTGAACTCTTATCTTGGGAGGGAACTTGTAAAGAGTAGGGGGGCTGTCACAGAACCTGCACTTTCAGGCAGAGAAGCCGTCCCTTGTCTTCAACATGCTGTCACATTGGCAGCGAAACAGGAGTCGAAGACATCAACACTTAAGCAAGTGATACTTCGACCCTCTTTCGATGTGAGGCTGCGTCCTCTGGCATTCGAAGCTCGGCAAACTCTCACTAGGACTGGGGGCATAGCGGCATAGTGCATGCTGTGTCCTGCCTTGCAGCGTTGCATGATGAATGATTCGAAGATTGCAAAAGCAGATCTACTAATCCGTCTATTTGTTTGTCTATCTATGTGCATACCGGATGTAAGCTTTGGAGTTTAAGCTACTTTCGCCAAGGAAAGGGCACAAAAGAGGTGCCTTGTCTATTTAAGATTATGGACATGTAGCCTCCCAAAACTGTTAGCCGCAGTGTTTCAGGTCCCGCTATCTGTGCCGAGGCCGCTTGTCTTTGCATTTCGGATTGGTCTGTCCATTGTACCCACTCGCTGTTCCCATCAATTTTTGCAATGTGATACCTGACACAGTTTGTTGAAGTTTGTGAGGAACTCTTTTAGCTTGATTGGTCGCTTAGTATGTTGATTTTACTGCTCGCGTGCTCACGTGATCGGGTACTCGCTCGCTGGCTTGCTTGCTTGCTTGCTGGCTGGCTGGCTTGCTTGCGTGCTTGCTTGCTTGCTTGCTTGCTTACTGACTTTCTTACCTGCTTGCTACTGGGTTGCTTGGTGGTTTGCGTAATTGCTTGTGCAGTTTCTTGCCACCTTCTTCTGGAGTGATTGGTTGAGCAGTATGTAGCTTTTTGAATTGATGGTGGTGGACCTGCTTTCTGGACCTGTTTTGGGCAGTAGTCAGGAAGCAGCTTGATGTCTTCGTAGGTTTTGTTGCTACAGGCATCGACAAGTGCAATAACCATCGTTCATTTCGGTATTGGATGAGGCATCTCCGGTTCCTTGATTCTTGCTTTAAATGGTGGCCTAATGCGGCCTATACCTTGCTTCCTACTCAGGAAATCGCCAGCGAATTCCAGAAGTCAAAGTGCAGTTGGCAGCCCTAGAGGATCACCTGTCAACTCCAGCCCACCTGGCAGCTCCATGGGAAGCCCACCACCAAGCAAGAGCCCAGTGCCAAGCAGAAGGCCGTTGTCCTTGGATGGTCATTTTGCGGTTCGAATGCACATGACATCAACTACGAGTGGGCTGGTTAAAGTTGCTAATGAGACATACTTTTGTTGGCAGAAACATGACCCGTGTTGCTCAAGTTTGCTTGTCACGTGTTGAAAGATTGGATGTTGATGTTCATTGTGTCCTATCGGCACTCGAAAGCAGCGGCTCTGCAGGATATCCGGAATTTCTTTGCCAAGACCTTTAAGCCCCTCCAGTGGTCAGAAAGAGGGGCCACACGAGGATCATTCGACTGCAGCCAATTCTATGCAGCCCTATTTGGCGTGCATACCGTAAAGCTATCCTTTTTCTTGTTCCTGACTGGAATGGAAGGAGTCCGACGATGCATCACAGCCGAGCAAAGCAACGCGTTTCGGTGGCACACGGTTCTTTCTCACAATTGACAATGCTATCAGCCATTCTGCAGGGTGGGATTGAAGAAGGAGAAGGACAGGCACAGCGTTGAGACAGCTGAATTTGATGCGATGCGGCTGGAACTGGTGGGGCCCATTGTTGGGAGAGCTATTTGAATCTTGGTTGAACTGCCGTTAAGAATTTAAGAATCAGATTCAGGTGGCTTTAAACGCAGAGTGGAGAAAGAATCACACCAGCACAGACCCCAGACAGCAAAAGATATTTGTGAGCAGCGCCCTGCAGCGGCACCAGCACTCAGGCTCCAAAGTGTGCACAAGCACCTCTTCCTGTACTTGAAGTAAGAACCCCATAGCTCTCCCTACCTGGGGAAAAAGAAGATAAGGGATCGTTAAACGATCTAAAGCGGCCCAAATATATATGAGGGTCACTGAACTTCTTGTTTCTCCTCGTGAGACTCGTGCGCTTGACTTGCACCTCCGCGTTTTCAAAAGGAAAGTCCGGCATTCGGCCCAGGTGCAGTTTGGCAACTGGATTTGCTCCCTTCAGATGATGCAAAGGATGACAGTGCTGACGGCCTTTTGGATGGTACAGCGTCTTGGAAGCGGTTGCTTTAAAGACTGTGTCATGGAGAGAGAAAGAGACAGAGAGAGAAGATGGTAGCCTTTCACGGCTTATGCAGCTCACACCACCATGGTGTGTGTGTTCGTTTCCCACCTTGCAACATTTGGACAGTGGAAGCTAGTAGACTTGTGCATGTTGCAAACGTGGCTATGTGATTGACGCACAAGAACTGAGTAACCAAGTTACATTCTGTTGGAAAGTCCTCCGTAGCGCCTGCAAATGCCAAACTTCCTTTCTGGCGGCGTGTACTGCGAGTGCTAATAAGGAACAGAGGCAATGGCTGCGGCCTCGACACATTTTGGCAAATCTGGTTGCGGTCTGCAATGTGAGGTGATAGATTGCTTGTTTCGAGGTCGCACCTGCAATACAGCAAGCTGACATCTGAAATGGCACAGAGGGAATTGGGAAGACTGAAGAGCGGCAAAGTTCGTCGTGATCCTTTGCCAAATATACTGTAATATAGCTGAATGGGTTTGAATGAGTCTGAATGGGAAGGTTGAGAGTTTGCAATCATTTTATTTGATGAGAGTTGATGCCAACAATTGCACGCGCGACGTGTGAAATGGCTGCAAGGAGAAGAATGACAATGATGATGATGGGTCGGATTCCCACCCAAGTGCAGATGAGAAGCCCGCAACAGAGCTACGAGACTTGTCTGCAAGAGAGCGCGGCTTATGCTGTCCACGAGAAGAAACCCTAGCCGGAGCGCCTCATGTCATGTTGCGCAGCAGGAATATACGGTGTAAATTTCAATGATGCAATATGCGCAAAGATGCATGTCCTTTCGTTTGTGCACCTAGTTCGGGGCTTGTGGGCCTTCACTGCCCTAGTGACCAAAGCTGCGATAGCAGCAAATGCCACACACAAAGGAGAAACTCTGCATCAAATTTAAAAGGTCAGACCTGTGCTCTCCAAGCACCTTCTTTTGTACGGGTCTTTCAATCGCATCAGCCATAGAAAGATCAGGGTGGTGTTTCGTGGATACCTGTTCTTCCGCCAGGCACACACACACACACCCCTGCCTAGCTGCCCGCTATCATTGCTTCCCCCAGGGCCTTTCTGCCGAAAATGCTACCAAAACTTCTTCATGCGAGCAGGCCTGTCTTTGACAGTGTGCCTTCGCCCTTTTGCATGGAAATTATCTATGCAATGAATCTAATGCTAGCCTCTGCTAACCTTGCCGTGCAATGGAATGTCATGTGATGCAAAATGCAGTGAAGTGTGAAATGCATTGCCCTGCATTGCCTCAATGCACTGTAACGGTACAGTAACGCACAGTGATACAATGTGTATATCATACCAGGATGTAAAACAATATGCTTGGTTACCTGGTTGGATTTTACTTGATCAGATTGGATTTTACTTATATAGTTGGCTTCAATGGAGTAGATTGATTGGATTGGGTTGGATTGCGGGCTTGTCGGGTTTAGTTGGAGTGGGATGGGACAAGAGTTGGATTTAGGTTGAATTTTGCAGATTGAATTGGATTGAGTCCATTGATACTTTGATCGGCTAATAAATAGGTTGATATGTAGCAGTATGGACATGGCAGAGTCATCGTCATGTATATAGTGATACGGATCCTCAATGGATACTGTAAGCTTTTAAAGGATAGTTTCAATCAAGCGTGATTGACGATGGCCAAACAATATGACTCCTGACTAAGATGACCACACGCAGCGGCCAACATGCGTGACCACACACAAGATAGTCGCTGAGGTAAGCTGCATGTGCAGAAAAAACCTGTGCCCCTTACTGGTATTAATTATACGGGATGTTTTCCCGGGCTGTGTGCAGCACACATTGGGTTCAGATGGTGCCGTCGAACCGAGCTGACCACGCAGTGTGAGCCAACCGCTTGACACTCAGCCCACTCATCACTACGCTACGGTCTCATCACCACGCTACGCTTCGCCAAATTTCGCTTCATCGCATCATCATATCACCTCATGGCACAGCATAATTCACAACAGTGTGCTGGAGGAAACTTCTTGGAAACTTCCAGCCTCCGATTCTCTCCAGACATTTGGTGGTTCTGCTGGTGAGTGGGGTGCTAGAAGTTGACTGCGGAGTAGGTGCCTAAAAAATTTAGTAGTAGGAGGGCAGGTTAAAAAGGACAGAAATGAAGACAGACAGGTCTAAAGAATAAAGGTAAGAAAAAGCACAAGGTCTTAAAAAAGGACTGCTTCACAAAGCCATGTGTTCCTTTCCAGTCTGTTTGAAGTGAGCGGTGGGAGTGCTTGCGATACAAATGCGACATGCCAGCCTAGGCCAGCTCCAAAAGCGCCTGACAAAAAAGTCAAAGAGGCACCCCAGCTCAAACTAAAGCATTTTGGCAGAGTCAAAAGGGGGGGCATTGCAAACCACAGCGCGAAATTCAGTGCATCCTCTTGGACTTGGCCCGGCTGTGGAGAGAGCTTTTGCTTGTGCTGCTTAACCTTGCAAGTGGCTTGTAAAACTTTGTATTCGGACCGAGTAGTTTTCTGCAAATGGCAATGCAAGTGCAAAGGTGCACATGAGCTCATATTGAGCCTTTGGCTGCCACCAGCGTCACTGCCCTCGAGGCAGAAAACTTTCAAGTTTGCGCCTCCAGAAGAACCTGAAGCGGAAGTGAAGCTACTCAATTGCATCATGCTGCGCTGATGATTTATGGCTGTTGACTCGCATTGTGAAACATGTGCGCACATGCAGGTACAAAATAGTGGTCGCGCTTCTGTGATGCAATTAGCAATCATTTCGGGCCTTTGCGATGCTGTTTGTCAATCCACGTGGCCCTGCTTTGTTTCTCCAAGGTTTGGAAAGGCAATAAAAGTTCCAATCAAAGCAGGTGTGATGTGTCTGAAAGCAATTTTTTCGAGGTTATGAATGTCGATGTCCTAACCGCAGGAGAACATGGAGCTTCCAGAAAGCACAGTAAGGCAGATGCTTCCTGACCAGCTGCCTTCTTTGTTTTGTTTGTGCATTGTTGGTTTTCTTTGTTGGTGCATTGTATGACACATTAAAGACCCGACGATTGAGTGATAATCTTGTACATCCTAAATTTGCAGGAAGTCAATTTGCATAGCAAAATCCACAGAATTATTGCATAGTGGCATATTTTGCATTGTTCGCAGGTAGGGGAAGCAGTGGAGAAGTTTCTCAAGCATTCAAGCACGGACACCCGGATTACGCTGGGATCGAGGACAGCGCATGATTTTAAATGGCCTGAGGTAATCGAGAGAGGCCAATGTCAGCAACCCCGAGTGATGTTTCCAGGCCTGATGACCGAACAGGTTGTGCCAGATAACTTTATTGCTGTTTTCATTTATAATTGAGTTATCATTTGGATGGAGCCTTCCCAGACAAGCATTTTTGGCATGAGCAGACACTTGGTGTTTGGGTGACAGCTTTGGCGCTGAATTGCAGACGCAAAGCTCACAATAGCATCAGCTGTAAAATCCTTTGAGCCATGAACAGCGCCTGAAAGGGCTGTGAGTACACCAAATCTCTTTGGTTACCTGATTGCCTGGTGTCATGAATTGACATAGCCAAATTTGAATATCACGAAAGGTAGCCTGGTAAGGACTACCTTGAGCTTGCTTTGCGAAGCAAAGGGACTCGCTTGAGAGCCTGCTCGGGACTAAAGATTGGTAGATCAATGTCTAACACCGCCACCCCACCCCTCCCATGTGATGATTCATTGATAAATCAATTGTTTTGCACCCCCCCCTTCCCCTCCACTCCCCTCCACTCCCCTCCCCGTCCCCTCCCCTCGCCAGCACTACTAGCATTCTGGACACACCATCACACCATAAGGTGAAGTCATGCGCTTAGCAGTCACAGCAGTACGACGCTGGCCATGAGGTTGCGCAATACAGCACGAACCCTGCACAATGAGGTTGCGCAATGCGGCTTCGATGCCGCGCGTGCGCACCCGGCAGCCTGACACAGCGCGTACTGCGTTCACAGACCATATTGCTCGACACCAACGAGCATCGATGCAACACAGCCTCTCGACTCAGCCTTATACCCTAGCGTGGCGACATCTTACCGCATCATGGAGCACCACTACACAGCTATTTACGCACCCTTCCCATCAGCCACCCACCATAGCGTGACGTCCATCCCTGGCAGTACCGGCCGCACCGCACTATCCTTACAAGGGGTTGGTCACTGCCGCTTCGACGCAACGCGTGCAGGCCTGTGTCTTGACACAGTGCGTGCAGCTGTGGGACCATAGATGGTACACATGCGAGCGTTTACGCGTTGCGACTTTTACGCGGGCCTGTTTTCACACACCTTTACGCAAACGAGCGTCGACGCAACGCAGCCTCTCTGCAGAGCCGTGTGGCGCAATCTGACCGCAACGGTGTTCCTCTTGAGCCTTCTTGTGCTCTGTGGCTTTGTTGGCTTTATCCGTGATTGACCAAGGGGAACGTTCCTGAAGCACCGGGGGCAGTCCCTCACCAGGAAAGGTCCCAATACCCGGTCCGTCTCTACCTTTCGTGTTTCCCCGCTCAAGTTCTAATTACTTCATTGCAGAGATTCAGATCTCAGCATTTTCAGCGGAGGCGTGGGCTGAGAGCTCCTGCAGGCACTACGCAAAACGTTACTTGGGGTGTATTTTTGCATTGGTCTCCGGCTGAGGTATGCGTGCTGAAGGCTCAAGGACGGTCATTGTCAGTAGTTCTGTGGCTTGTGGTCGGTGGCGATTCCGATTGTTCAATGACATGAATGCTTTGTCGCGGTTTCAGGAATGGTAGCCCGCGCAATTTGGAGAAAGATGAGAAGGATGAGAAGAATGAAACTTTGAGCTTTCAATTGCAGAAGGCAGAGCAGAAGGCCGACAAATCATCAAAGGATTCGAACAAATCCAGCTCCAAAAGCTCCAAGCCAAGTTCAAAGGAAAGCGTGCAGCAGAGTGCCAGCCTCTCACGAGAAGAAGCAGATGGGTACAAAGATTTGAAGGAATTTGCAACATCGCCAAGTTCCCGGCAAAGTTCACACCCAAGCCCTGCAGTATTCCAGGTTTGGGATCAACAAGCCGCCAATATCGTAGATTTTGACAGCTGCGTGAGTGCGGTCCAACTCGATGTGGTTCATCAAGCTGTTGATGGCTCTCGATTGGACGACACTGCTCCCTCAGTTGATGAAGCTGATGAAGGCCGCAGCTTTAGCATGCAGAAGGCCAACTGTTCATTTGCAGGATTGATGTATGACCCTTTTTGAACAAGGTTGTGACATACTCGTGCCAAGGTGCAAGAGTTTTGATCAGCCCTTCGAGAAGGTCAAGCATGCGAACGAGACGGGAGGAGGCGACGTACATTGCACAAAATATTGTGCACCTTGGTCGCGCTGGCCTTTCCCCACATTCATGAGTAGGGTGAACAGATGTTCCATCAGAGCAGGGCTACGGCTACAGAAGTAGCCGCCATCACAATCCCAACCGAAGTTGGACGTTGAGCAGCATTTGTGAGCAGCCAGAACTCTGCAGCTTTGCTTCTGAGGTATGGCCCAGGGGTTCCTCCCGCAGCAGGCTGGTGGGGTATGCATAGTTTTCTGACGTCTTGTGCAGTTTGGGTTTTGGGTTTGGGCCGAACTTTCCCGCTGGCAAGGCTCAAGTGCAGGTGGTTCAACCATCCAGATCACGTGCTTTGGCAAAATCGCAGTGTTGCAGCCAGTGGTTTCACTCTACTCGTTATAGCTGTTGCGGGCAAGGCTGCCTCCGTCTGTTGTGGACGAGGTGCTGCTTGCGGATGCATTTCTTGAAGCCAAATCATTTCAAGACAACTATATAGGAGGAAATGTGCCGGACAGAAATGGACTCGACAAATAATGTCAGCTTTGTTGAGCGGTCAACAACTTGCATCGGCTCATCATACTGCAAGTACTGGACCCCAGGAGGCAGAAAGACGGCGCAGCATACACCAGGCGCCTTGAAGCTAGGAGAAGCGCGCACGTGGAACACTTTCTGTACCACGTGCTCGAAGACAGGTGCGGCCACTTGCCAAAGCTCCTTCAAGCCGCCCGCTTTCGCCGAAGGCTTCTTCGCATGGGCCCCAAGCCCAGGTGAGGAATTGTCCACATGTCATTCTGCATGCACACCCAAGGACCACTAGCGATGCAGCTCAGATGCAGATTCTTTGGCTCCATGTGGCTTCATCAACCAGTCGAAGTGGAGAACAGCAAGCCTTTTCTGGAGTGGGGTTCTAGTTACTTGCGACAACAAACCGTCCACACTGGGATTATGTTCAACCTTGGTTTTGCCTCATTTTTGGTTTTCACGAAAAGGCAACATTGTATGATCTTTTGTTGCACTATGTTGGCATCATGTGACCCCAAACTGGGATCTATTTTTGACCAGGTTGATTCAGTGCTGATTGCTTGTGCTTCTAAGCGTTCGGTTCAGGCTTCAGCTACATAACGTAGTCTCGTGTCAGTCGATACTGGCACTGACCCATGAGCCATGCCAACTGACTTACTAAAGTGAACCAAAACTCATTTTCGAGCTAATGTCGGAGCAACTTTGTTGCCCATCTTGTCCCTTCTACGCCTGTCTCGAGCCTGAGACCTTCAAGAATGCAGAAAATCCATGCCTGCATGCCTCTTGAACTTGCAGTCGCTTCATTTCCCTGTCAGCATGCTGAGCCAAGTTCATTTTTGGGCTAGGCTATGTTGTAAAAGGGTATTATATTTGGCAATGTTGACCCAAGGCTCCGCTTGTGAGTGCAAAGGCTCCCATTTTGGGCTTGCATTATATATTCTATTTCGGCCGATGCAATACCAACCAACAAATTGAACCAAACCTGCAAAAAATGGCCCCGTTCTTGGGTCTAAGGCTCTAAAACTCATGTATATACAGATTTGGCCATTCATTGCATGAATCAAGATTCAGGCAAGGTTCACAGGCAAGAATGCCCCCTGTGTCAAAGCTAATCAGTGCTTGCAGTTGCTCCCGGTTCAAGCGTGCTTGGGAACAACGCGGGCACCTTCGGTACGGGCGGATTTGGAATTATATACTTCAAATTCAGTTAATGCTGGCTAAGCTTGCCATGAGGTAGTGGAAGCCAAGCTTGCCCATGTCACGCTGCCAGAAATCTCCTCAGCACATCTGGATTCCAACGCCACTTGAAAGCACGCAAGACTCTTCCAAAGGACCAGAAAATCCACCCGCCTTTTGCTGCCTGTTGTCCTGATCAAGGTGGCGTTCAGCACAACTTCAGATGAGACAACTTTTCTATCCGGAAAAGTGCGACCCTGAGCCCTTTGACGTGGCACGCCGTGTTTTTCTTTAACTGGTCATCTTCGCCAACCAAGGACAGGCTAGGATCAGTGCATCACTGTAGCTTCAAGGCGTTCTTGTCCGGCTGCACGTGGTTTGGGGTTGCCACGGCTGAGATTGCTGTGTGGCAGGAGTGGATGGAGAGGCAAGAGAACTCAGAGCAGGATGTACCAGGTGGGGCTTTGGAGACACGTCATGCGATTGCAAGCTTGAGTCCAGCTGGCAGGGCAAAGCTCAAGCCCACCAAAAATCGCTCCATTGCGTTCGGCAAGGGTGATGGCCTTTGTTATTCATCCTCATGCTGTCATGGTTGCAAGTTGAAAGGATGGTTTTTCCGATTGAAAGACCTGCGACTCAGGTGGTGAGATTAAAATCTGGGCCAGTCAGTGTTGGTACCCTTCCTGACGAGCCCTCCTTCGATGCTCCAAAAGGCTGATGGAGATGTACCGGGAGACATGCTGAACCATGTGTGAAGCCAGCTGAGCCCTGCTGAGCCGCAGCGCCCCTGGGCAGGCATGGTTGAACACACGGTTGAACACCAGCCGCGGCCTGAGTGTGGCACTCGTAGAGCACGTTTGTGCTTCAATCAACACTTTTCATGTGAACCATCAGGCGACTCTTGCTGGTTGAAGGCTGACCAATCTTTGATGGCTTTGCCGAGGCCAGTGGCCGAGGAAGAGACGAAGTTGGCGCTGAAGAAAGTCTCTGCTTCCGGGATGCAGTGATGAAGACATGCAAAGACGGCAAGACTGAGTCACTAGGGAGGTATTGGAATGTAATGGACGTGTCGCAGTCGAAGTCTCCGACTGTGGAAGGTTAACTTCAAGACTCCACAGTCAGCACCTCCCAGCAGAGTCCCACCACACAATCGGTGGCTCGTTGGCAACGTTATATATATATATATATGTGTGTGTTTTTCCTTTTTGTCAACCAGAATGACCAACTGAAACAGTGGCGGGCCACCCAGCCGAGGCAACGCAGAAGCACACCTCAGCCCAAAATGGCAGCTCAGCCTTTGATGTCAAGCCCCATTTCATGTGGAAACATGCATGCCTTGCTCAGGGCTCAGCACGCGGCACGCTGCATTTGAAATCAGCACCGGGTGATGGTGGTTCTCCTGCGCCTCTTTCACATAGGCCATGACGGCTATGAGAATTAGTAATTCCTCAACATACGCAATGCGCATCACGGCTTTGCCTTTTGTTTGAGGGTACTTCAAGATGACCCTTTCCCTCAGCCAGCCCGGAGCCCCCAGGCGCGATGTGCGGGCCACTTTAGCACCAACAACTCCCTTTTTGCCGTCTTGGTCTTATCGACTCACAACTGCTTATCAATGGTGGTCACTCGCACAGATGGAGACTAGTGGAAACACATCTCCACCTTCTGTTGGAAGATTAAGCTTTCGCCGATGGCGCAGCTGCTGCTGTCACCTCTGCACCTCTCTTGCTATTTCGCTGGCAATTGACAACAGGTGTAGTTCTGGTGACCGCTCAAGTTAGTTACACCATGCTGCTGCAAGAAAAGGTTCTTGTTGATTTTGCTTGTCCATTAGCAGCTACTACAGGTCAATCTGCAATCGCAACATTAGCACCTGCGTGAAGTAGGTGCGGAAGAGCTAGCAGCCGTTGCCATGACAAGCTTCAGGTATCCCAGCCCAACCCTGGCACATTTTCAGACAGGACTGACACCGCGCCTATTTCTCTTTATATCTTGATGTTGTGTTGTGCTAGTATGACGACGGAATGCTCTTGGAGGAGTGGCAGGGGTGAAGTCTTAGCAGCCCATGCTTGCGGAGTCTTGGCGCAGAGAGGCCAAAAAAGACAAGAACGATGCGGATTCGTTCTTCGCCAGTGACTTGTAGGTATTGCAGCTTTTCACACTGTCCAGGAACCTTGGGAGCTACCCAAAGTGGAGCTCAAGAATCAGTTCGACCCTTTTTCACCCGTGGAGCACTTGAAAGGCAAAGCTGGGGAACAATGAGAAGACTGCAAAGTTCTTTAATCCTGCACTGTTGAAGGCATCCACCCGATATGCGAGGACTTCGTCAGGTGGATTGGCAAGACTGAGGGAGAGTGGGAGGAAGGGGGGACCGCGTTGCAAGCCACACAAATGCAGCGGAAGCACGAACACAGGCACCCATATCTGCCGTACCTATTGCTGGGAGTGCTGCTACTCGCAGACTGCGGCAAGGAGGCCAGGCAGCACAAACTCAAGGAGCGGGAAAGACCAACATGGTTAGAGGTTGAGACATTTTGTCCAGGTTGGGTGCAGTTGACAGAAGCGGCAAATGAAAAAGTTGTCTCAGTTTTCTTCACACTTGACATGTCCCCGAGTATGTTACATGCGATTGGTGGCCACCTTTCAGTTGCTGATATTTCGGATCAGCTTTGGGATTCAGGGTGTAACATCCTGAGATCCCAATTAGACAGAGACCAAGACGGAGTCATGCCATCGCATAAGCCCTCAAGTTTTCGAGAGCTATTTAGACACCTGGCCCAAAAAAAAGAAAAACTCTGCAGCCTTTCCAGCTGCAGAGCTGAACGTCAACTCCCATGTAACTGAACTGAACAAAGAAAGCCAAATGATGACTTTGTACATCTTGCACATTCCATTTTGGCCATTTGCGCTGAAGCATTGCCCAGCATGACGACCGTTTCCAAGCTGGGAATTCAAGGCATACGAAGCTTCAATCATGAACGGATGGAGATCATCGAGTTTGAGAAACCACTTACCCTGATTGTTGGACCAAACGGTTCGGGTAAGACTACAATTATCGAGTGCTTGAAAGTTGCATCAGCTGGGATCCTACCTCCGAATGCCAAGAATGGACATGGCTTCATTCATGACCCGCAGATCGCTCGGCTTCCTGAAGTGAAAGGACAGATTCGAATGCTTTTCAAAGCGGGGGTGGATCAAACAAATCGTGAGATTTGTGCGGTTCGGTCTTACCAATTGACCAACCGGAGAGTGGCTGGCCGATTGAAGCCAACCTTTAAGGCCTTGGAAAGCGTCCTGCGGACTACGGCAGATGATGGTAGTAAAGCCAGCCTAAGCCATAGATGTGCTGACATGGATACCCAAGTGCCTGAACTCATGGGTGTGTCCCGTGCCGTGCTGGAGAACGTGATTTTCTGTCATCAAGAGGAGTCATCGTGGCCTCTTCAGGATGCTGCTAGTGTGAAGAAGCGCTTTGACGACATTTTTGGTGCCACGAGGTATACCAAAGCTTTGCAGAACATCAAGGAAGTACAGCGTGACTGGACGAAGATCACTCGTGAACGGAAGGCTGATGCGGACCTTTCCCAGGCGCATCTGGATCAAGCAAGAAAGCTCGGTGGACAGAGGGAAGACCGAGAACGAATCGCCAAAGAGCTTTCAAGTGAGCTTGAAACGTTAGATTCCAAGCTAGGTCAAGTCGATGAGGAGCTGCAGAAAGCAGAGTTAGACCTCGCCCAGTATGAAAGTTGTGGCATTCGTGTTGCCGAACTGAAGGGCTTGATCGGGAAGTGCCACAAGGACAAGCAAGAGACGGCTGAAGCAATGAAGCAGAAGGAGCAAGACATTTTCAGAGAGTCCCTTGCAGAACTGGAAGAACAGTCTAGACAGTTCAATGAGCGTGCCATAGTTCAGAGTGACCAGCAGGTTAAGCAGGCCAGGGCAGAGTTGGCCAAAGGGGAGTCTGTGTATCATGCCGCAGTCAATGCCGCACGGCAACTTCGTGAGGATATGGGAGAGACGGTGGCCGCTGCTGAACTCTTGACTTCGCGCAAGGCAGACCTCAAGGGCCGCCTGCAGCAAGCAAACGAGCCTTCAATAGAAGCCTTGAGGGCCAAACTGGATTCGGAAGCAGCCAAGTTTGCTCAGGCAGAGCGAGAACAAAGGCAACGAGATGCGCAAGCTGAAGAATCCATTGCCGCAACTGAACGGGCTTTGCAAGAGGCGTCGTTGGAAGCATCCAAACATGACTCTCGAATTCAGGATGCGACAAAGGCAATTACCCGATTAGAGGAGGAAGCAAAGACCTTGGCACGGGCAGGGCCTGACTTGGATGCTTTAGTTCGTGGCCTACGGGAGAACGAGGCCGCTCTAGGCGCTGAAGGAAATGATGCACGGCTTCGACGTCTGGAAGCACGGCAAGAAGATATTGGGAGACGGCGTCACGACTTGCAATACTCTTTGCAGCGGAAGAGCAGTGAGGTAGCACAGCTAGAGGCCCAGAGTAGTGTTCACGCTGAAGTTGATGCCTTGAGGCAGCGCCTCAGAGAAGCAGAAACAGATCTTGGGAAGAAGCTGGGCGAGTTGCGAGCGGGACTGGTTCCTTTGCTTGGACAAATGCCAGAAGCTGCTGAGGCAGAGGCCAAGGTAGTTGCCACTTTGCAGGATTCACAGGCTGCGTTGCAGCAACAGACCAAGAAGTGCCAAGATTTGCAGAATCGCATCGGAATTGCTAGTGCCAAGAAGGCTTCTGTAGAAGCTGAGATTCACAGATTGCAGCAGGAAGATTCACGCATTGCAGCAGAACTTGGTGTGCCCTCTGCCACCGCCACCGGCCCTGGGCACAGCAGCGCAGCTGCAGAATTTAAAGCTCGGCTTCAAGACATCAAGCAGCAAATAGAGTTTGCTCGGAAAGATGTGTCAATGACCGAGAGTGCGAAACACATGTATGAAAAGTTCCGGGAGAAGTCTCGATCGAAGAACATTTGCCAGTTCTGTAAACGAGCCTTTTGTGGAGAAGGAGACCTTGCAACTTTTGAAGATGCTATGGAGAAGCTGATTGCCAAAATTCCTGGCTTTTTGGAGTCTAGCCATCAGAAACTAAGCGAGGTCCAACTGCGAGAAACTGCGCTTGAGTCTCAGCGTCCTCGTTGGGACCGCTTGGAGCAGTTGCGGAAAGAGGAAGTGCCGCGGAGGCAGAAAGAGCTTCAGCCAGCTGTGGAGGAAGAACGCCTGAAGCTCAGAGCTTGAATGCATTAGAATATGCTAGAATTCGCTACTAGTAACAAGGGCATCGCTACTAGTAGCAAGAAGCTACTAGCAACAGCTTAAAATACATCCCTTGGCTTGCATTTGTCCAGGATCCTTCCGTGCCTCCTTGGAACCAGAGGAAAGGGAAAGAAGACGGCTGGAAGAACGCGATCCTTGGATTGCAAAAGTGCTCACGACACACACTTATGGATATGCGTACTGACCTGACAGCGGTGCCACACGCCGGCCTAGGGTGCCAATTCCTAAGAAGATAAGTAGGAAACCACTGGAGCCTCGGGGTCCTCAAACGGAGAAGGGGCCAAACTCGCAAGCCGGGGTCGAAGCGACAGGGTGACGTCGTAACGTGCACATCTGCAGAACTCATTAGCCCTTTACCAGAAGATTGGAGTGAAAGCTTGTCAACACCACAACCAAGCAGGTACGTCGGAGTGATCAGCTCCGATATCCTCCCAACTCATGAGCAGCTTCGTTGGCAGTAGACTCATGAGTGGGCTACTGCCCCCTGCTAAAAATTCAAAGAGAATCCCTGTGACTACAAGGGGCACACACACACACACACACGCCTCCCCAAGGGGAGGCGAGAAGCACTAAGGTCCGGGCAAAAGTGTGAGTGTGCGCGCAGAAGACAAAAGAATGAAGACATGAAGAGGACAAGACGGGACAAGAGTGTGTGTGGTTGCAATGAAAAGGAACCAAGTGCGCAGGAACAACCGATGACAACCCACCTCATTATAAAAACCTGGGCGACCTGAAACCTGATTTGAAAGTAGGTTGTGCATGTACAAACTAAGGGCCGGGCGGTGTGCACGCAAAAGAAGGAAAGAGATGAGATGACAGGACATGAAGCAATTGAAGACATGAAAGAAAAGAAGGGAAAAGAAGTATGTAAAGGGGAAAGGATGAAAAGGGAACCAGATGGAGGGGACCGAAACCGATGAAGCCAAACCTCATTACAACGACCTAGGAAAATCTGCCTCGTTTGAATGTACACGCTGTATGTGCACCCAAGGTCTCGACAGGTTCCAACGAACCTCAAAAGTACTTTGACCGCTGTGGTCACCTTGTGCCCTGCCAAAGTGGCTGGCTGCTTTGACCGCTGCGGTCACGTAAAGGCATGAGCCAACTTGAAATTCCAAAGATGAGACAAAAATCCAAATTCTTGTGGCGTAAGCCATCCGCTGTCCGCTCCGGGCACCTACGTTCCCAAAGCCGGGGAACATGGACAGACACCCGTTCGACGGGTCCACGGGAGGCACTCTACGGGCTCATCCCGGACTCTCACTGGGAGAGACACACTTATGGATATGCGTGCTGACTTGACAGCGGTGCCACACGCCGGCCTAGGGTACCAATTCCTAAGAAGATAAGTAGGAAACCACTGGAGCCTCGGGGTCCTCAAACGGAGAAGGGGCCAAACTCGCAAGCCGGGGTCGAAGCGACAGGGTGACGTCGTAACGTGCACATCTGCAGAACTCATTAGCCCTTTACCAGAAGATTGGAGCGAAAGCTTGTCAACACCACAACCAAGCAGGTACGTCGGAGTGATCAGCTCCGATATCCTCCCAACTCATGAGCAGCTTCGTTGGCAGTGGACTCATGAGTGGGCTACTGCCCCCTGCTAAAAATTCAAAAAGAATCCCTGTGACTACAAGGGGCACACACACACACACACTTGAGACGAGTGCTCTGCCGAGCTTGGCTTCAGACAATTCGCGGTGAGCATTAGCCCTTTAAGTGAATACTTAGCACTTGACTTGATTCAACGGAAAGAAGTGAAGGGTCAGAAAAACAGAATGTTTGAACATAGGTGAAACATGGAAAAAAGTTAAAATGCACGCCAGCTTAAGTAAACCGCCTAAGGTTCAGGTAAGTTAAAGATCTCCAAAGCTCAAAACGAAAAACGAACGAGCGCCAGGATGACGGCGAGACGTGCGTTAGCCCTTTACAGGTAAGTTCAGTTAAAGATCTCCAAAGCTCAGAACGAAAACGAACGAGCGACAGGATGACGGCGAAACGTGCATTAGCCCTGTATGAAGTACCTGAAAACCTAAACGCCTCCTGGAACAACATCAGGCACATGAACCACCATGAAACAAACCAAGGGACCACATCAACCAATCAACAGTTTAACAATAGCAGGTACGTTTTCACCTCCCTGGCGCGTGGTCTTGGCCAGGACGCGTGCCAGGGAGTCCTGGCCGCCTGCTGTTGCAAACTGTACATTGATAATGAAAGGAAGGAGAAATAGTAGAGAGTAGTGCCCCTGGAAACGGGGTTCGACACACACAGAAAGCCGTAAACGGCGCAACTAGTTAAAGTGTTGAGTGTACTGTCAATGAGCTCTGCAATGCGTGTCCCCTGCGTGAAAACAGGTTTTGGAGAGTTTTCCATCGTCTTTGCAAGCGACCTCTGTTTTGTGGAGAGATCTGGCAACGTGCTTCCAGTTGGGTCGTGGCTTCTTGTTGAGTTTTTGCTCGGTGAGCTTCTCGTCATCGCTGGTATGGCTGATGCTGATAGCAGCGGTGGCAGTGCTGGTGTGACTGATGCTGATAGCAGTGCTGTTTGTGGAAAAAGGACTTGTGAGGATGTGGCTTGTTCAGGTGGTGCTGCTGGTAGCAGTGCTGCGCTGTAAGCAGGGCTGATCTGACTGAAGCTGGTGGGAGTGTTGTGCCTGCGGTGTTTTGTCGTTGTCAATTTTGAGGCGCCGGGGTGTGAGCCACCGAGCCCCGGTGTTAGGCGCCCCTTGTTATGTAGTGCTGTTTGTGGGAAAAGTGCTGGTAGGACTGATGCTGGTAGCGGTGTGTTTTGCTGTGTTTGTGCTGGTGGGGGTGCGACTTGTTTGATCGTTGTGGAGAGTGGTGTTGGAGTGGGTGTGGGTGGTTTTGTTTTTGGCTGGTGAAGGTGCCATAGGTGGTGGTCTGTGGGTGGATATCGTGTGAAGTGAAAAGGTGGGGAGGATTGTGGTGGCGGCAGGCGCCGCATGCCCGGGCAGGTCTTGTTATGTGGTGGCTAAGGGTTTTGATCTGCCGTGAAGCCTGTGGCAGGTTGGGGTGGATCCCAGAAAGTGGTTGTCCTGAAGGTATGATGGCTGGAAACAAGGTTGGCTGTTGTGAATGTACTGGCAAGCGTGTGGGTTGTTTCGGTTGAGGGCAGGTTGCCGGTAGCAGCGCTGGTAGGACTGATGCTGATAGCAGTGTTGTTTGAGGAAGGTAGCCAGGTAGGCGCTGATCGTAGCTGGTGCTGGTAGCTGTGTTGCTTGCGGGAAACTGGGCTTCTGAGGGTGTGACTTGTCCGCCGCTCTCTGGTAACAGTGCTGGGTAACGCTGATATTGGCAGCGGTAATGTTGTTGTCTTGCAGTTCGGCAGTGGTCTGTGCGGCAGGAGAAGCTGCCTTCTGAATGCAAAGGAAATCACCGATTGTCAATATTGTAGTTTAGCCCGCCTGTTGCAAACTGTACATTGATGATGAAAGGAAGGAGAAATAGTAGAGAGTAGTTCGACGCACACACTTATGGATATACTGACTTGACAGCGGCGCCGCACGCCAGCCTAAGAAACCCAAATCCTGAAAAACCAGGTGAGGGGGCCTGAGCGCCTGTAGTTAAAGGCCAAAGTTCCAAAGCCACGAGACGATGGACGGGTCGAAGTGACGGCGATCGCTCTTGTCTGCAGCTATTGAGGTTCTGGGCTTAGCCTCATGCCATTCGGAAGAATCGGAAAAATCGCAGGTACGTCTGGCTGACCAGGCCAGGTATCAGCACGGAGCTTGACCCTCTTCGTTGGATCACCAGTCAAGTCCGTGGGTGATCCCCCTGCTTAAAACTAAACAATTCAACAGAATCCCTGTGACTACAAGGGGCACACACACACACGCCTCCCCTCGGTGAAACTAAGGTGAGGGCCAATGTGTACGTGTGCGCGCACAAGAGACAAAAGAGTGAAGACATGACAAGAGGACGAGACGGGGCAAAGGTGCGCGTGGTGGAAATGAAAGGGGAACCAAGTGCACAGGGACACCCGATGAAGCCCGCCTCATTGTAAAGACCTGGGCGACCTGAAACCTGTGTTGAAAAGGTATGTAGAAGTGCACGTACACACTAAGGCCGGGACCACGGTGCGCGCAAACGAAGAAAAGGATGAGATGACCAGACGTGAAGACAGGAGGACATGAAAGAAAAGAGGAAGCAAAAGTGTGTGAAGGGGAAGGGGTGAAAGGGGGAACCAAATGGAGGGGACCGAAACCGATGAAGCCAAACCTCATTACAAAGACCTAGGAAAACCTGCCTCGTTTGAAGGTACACGCTGTATGTGCACCCAAGGTCCCGACAGGTTCCAATGAACCTTAAACTTGCTTTGACCACTGTGGTCACCTTGTGCCCTGCCGAAATGGCTGGCTGCTTTGACCGCTGCGGTCACGTAAAGGCATAAGCCAACTTGGAATTCCCAAAATTGAGACAAAATCTGAGTTCTCTCGGCCTAGGCCACCTTCGCCCGCTGTGGGCACGTACATCTCCGAGCAGGGGAGATAAGGACAGACGCCCGTTCGACGGGTCCACGGGAGGCACTCTACGGGCTCACCCCGGACTCTCACTGGGAGAGACACACTTATGGATACGCGTACTGATTTGACAGCGGTGCCACACACCAGCCTAAGAAACCCAAATCCTGAAAAACCAGGTGAGGGGGCCTGAGCGCCTGTAGTTAAAGGCCAAAGTTCCAAAGCCACGAGACGACGGACGGGTCGAAGTGACGGCGATCGCTCTTGTCTGCAGCTATTGAGGTTCTGGGCTTAGCCTCATGCCATTCGGAAGAATCGGAAAAATCGCAGGTACGTCTCCCTGATCAGGCCAGATATCAGCACGGAGCTTGACCCTCTTCGTTGGATCACCAGTCAAGTCCGTGGGTGATCCCCATGCTTAAAACTAAACAATTCAACAGAATCCCTGTGACTACAAGGGGCACACACACAGAGAAAGCCG